GTTCTATAAAAGGATATTGGTGCAAGAGCCTTTTCTTGCACAATTTAAAAAAGACATATCTCTCTAGAGGAAACCACTTTTCTTCAGCCTCAGAGAGGCAGCTGAAATCTGGCAGTGTTTCAAAAGGTGAAGTCATTCACTGCCTCTGTCTATATACCCCTTGGCAAATCCTTCCTCCCACCTCTACGGTTATGAATTTCTGTCACTAGGTGGCAGCACAGCCCTAGTGGCAAAGGCCCCCTTTACCAATTAAATGAAATATCATTAGGAGAACCCCCAAACACTTTTTAGAGATCAAGGCCACTATGGACATCACAGAGCTGAAAGAGATGTAGACCTAGTTCAATCCCTGGTTTGTGAGAGGCAGCTTTAGGGAAAAAGAAAAGGGATGTTTTGTATAAAAAGGAGAGAGGAAAAATCTTCAACCCTCTTAATAATTTGGGGGTGGGGGGGAGGGGGGTCAGAGAGGGTGTTGTCTAATAAACCAAAAAGTTCCATGGCAAAGATAACTGTAACCCTTCAACACTCTCTTCCCTTCTCCTCCCAACCTGGTGCAAAAAACATCTCCCCCCACCCCCCAAAAAAGTCTAACACTTTAGTGACACTAAAAACCAAAGGTCAAATACTGAATAGTCTACTAGCCTAAGGTGTCATTGGGATACAGGGTATTATGAAATATGGTCCCAGCTCTCAAACTGCTTACTAATACCATCTGGGCAAGTTACCCCAACACTGCATGCCTCAGTTTCCTCATCTGTAAAATGAGGACGTGGGATTGATGAAATAACCTCAGAAATCTCTTGTAGCTCTAAATCTACAATCAGGTCAGATGCCACCAACAGCCATCATCTGGCGAAGTTGGATTATTATTTTCTCAATATTCAAGGATAAAAATTAAATCTCTGTATATCAGGCGACTCCCATCATCATTTCTTTCTCTCACCAAAATACCTACTATTATCAACATACAGCATAAATTTGAACAACCCAAACTTATATCTTCTTTTCTTGATAGAGACATCACGGAGGAGAGAGAAAGTTCTCAGCATAAAAGAGCTAGGTAGGGTAAATGAAAGAATCTAGGAAGATGAGAGACGGGAAAGGGGCTAAGGCTGAATGGAGAAGGAACAGAATTGGAGGGAGGAGGCATTAATTACCAGCAGCTCTTGGGGTTTGACAGAATTATCGGTATAAATGCACAGTTTCTCTGCAGTAAGGGGGATTGTTTCCTTCAGCTTAGAGGCCAGGAACATGCAGACAGCACCCAGAAGCTGTAGACGGCACTTAGGAGTAGGCACCCCAGCTAAGAAACGGTCCAGGTAATTCATGGCTAAAGGGAAGACCTCTTCTTCGCACTTCTGCTCTTCACAGACCTATAATGGGGGGGGAGAAGAGAGCATGGGAGATAAAGAGAAGAGGGAGAAGCAGAATACAGTTAACCAACTCAAACGATTTCATTTTAGGGGGTGGGGAGGGCTGCGGATGTGATGGAGTGATAAGATTAGAGGCAGAGGAAGTTATAGACAGCTGACCAGGTATCTGACATCCCGATTCCATGAAAGAAAAAAAATAGAAATGAATTAAATAAAACTCCAAAGTCGAAGGAATAAGCAGTAGCCTGCCCATCCCACTTTCTCTTGCTACATACTTCTTTTGCTGGCTCTCACCCTCTTTTTTTTTTTTTAAATTTCTTCGTATTAAAAAATAAGATCAAAATTACCCAGGCAACTGGTGGGCAATCCTTGGCCACAATCAGACCCCACGACCCTTGCTCTATCATTCCTTATACTTGAAAAAATGCTTGGGGAGGTGGAGGGGGGGTGTAGATCGTGGCTCTGAAATCCAGTAGTTGCTAGTGGGGTGGGGGTGGGGGTGGAGGTGGAGAAAAGGGGGGAGGGAGGAGAGGAAGAGATGTCGCAGTCTCAGCAAGCACACAGAGCTGTACAACTTGCCGTGGCTGCTTCAAAAATTTACTAAAAATCGAGGAATGATCCTAGAGGAGTCTTTTGAGCACGAAAACCCCGAGAAGGGTTCCGGCTTTCCAAATTTGTGTGTTGGGGGTGCTTACACACTTTTATTTCGACTCTTTAGAATACTTCGTGACAGAGGTCCAACTAGCTCGGAGGCAGTTAAGAACGAGCAAGTGACCGCTAAGTCCCGCTGGCCCCACAAGGATGAGAGCAAGGGAAGGTAGTGGGGGTGGGGTGGAGAAATGGGGCTAGTGTGAAGAACTGAGGGTCAGCAACCCTGAAATTACTTTTTTTAGGGGTGTCCTGAACCCCTTTCCTTTCCTTCCGCACCCCACCCAAATTTCCTCCGCACGACGCAAACTGTTAAGCTGAACTCTTTTAAGTAATCCTTCCAAGGACGTAGAGTTGAGGGCAGAATAAAAAGGGAGAAGAGGGGCGCTGGGGTTATGGGGGTCTCGGAGAGGTGCGGAGTAGCTTCAAGCTTCTTGAACCCAAATTTGCAAAGCAACATGGCGAAACCATGGCAGGTCTGGGGCTATGCATACGTGGGCACATTGAGAAACTTACTGGGCAAAGTTTTGGGTGGGGGAGGAGAAAGTGTGTATGTGTGTGTGGGGGGGTCATCTCTGCCTCCCCTCTTTTCTGTGCAGCGTCTGGGGCTACTTAATTCTCAGCTCTCTTCCTTTTCTATTCCCCCTCCCCCCAGCCCACTCTTCAATGCCAACAGTGGAGCCCCGACCGCATGCGGAGACTTGGGGCTGAGATGAATTGGCGTTTTACACATTTTTTGCAACTTTTCTGCTCACATACCCATACACACATACAAGCACACACGGGCGCGGATACACACACACACACACACACACACACACACACACATACACACGCTGCACAGATACGCCGAAAGCAACCTCCGCAGGTTGGGGGGTTGGAAGCAGAGAAACACATGCGAACCTGCACACGCGGGCTGGCTCAAAAGCCCACAGCCTTACTTACCCTCTCTGGCCGCCACCCCCATTGCAAACCTCTCCCAGATTCAGCCCAATCTCCCTCATTTTCCCTCCGCCCCCGCCCCCAATCCTGCTTTGCGCAGATCATAAAAAAGGCCACGAGTCCAGCAAAGGCGCGCGCGGAATAACCGAGCGTAGGTTAAGAGTCCGCCGTGCAAAAATCTCCAAGGTCCCAACCCCTCTGGGTCCCCGAAATAGAGGTGGAAGGTGTGTGTGTGGGGAGATTTGCTAAGGGGAGGGTCCAGACCAACCTCCAGCATCCAAGTCGCCACCATTCTCCTCATGTAGGGCTGAATGTCCTTTTGCACGCATTTGAAATAGGAGCACTGGGGTAGATAGCGTTCCTCGATGGTGAGTAAGTTAAGCAAAACGCGGTCGTCGAACAACAGGCTGGGGTCCGGCACAGCCCTCCGGATGGGGTCCACCTCGCAGCACAGCAGCTCCATGACGTTCCCAAGAACCTACTCTTCTTCCCTCCCCGCCCCCCCTTTCCTCAAGATTAGAAAAGGTTTTGGGGGGTGGGGTGGGGGTTCTTACCTCCTTCTTTTAGAAAAAAGAAGGGGGAAACCAGAGGAGGGAAGCAGGATGAGTAGATGAGGAAGAGGCTTTAAGAGGGCTGTCCCACTCACTCCTGCTCTCCCTTCAAACTTTTCTGCTCTGTCTTAGACTCTCTTTCCTCCTGCAGAGGAGGCAGTGACGTAAGCCGGCTGGGCAGTCAGCTCCCCTCCCTCTCTCCCTAGACTCACTCTCTCCTCCCACTAGTTCCTCCTCCGCTCCTTCTTTCAGCCTCCCTCCCTCCCTTCCCTTCTCGTTATTATGGAGAACAGCAGCTGGTCAGACGTAACATCAAACGCTGCCCCCCCCCTTTTCTTTTCTCCTTTGCCCTCTCCCTCTATCCGCTCTAGGAAAAAGGAACCAGGGGCCCACGTATGGGGTAGCCCATAAAAAATGACAGCTTCCCGTTTCACCTTCTTCCTCCACTTTTTTAATGAATCCTATCATACTGAGTGTCCCAAAAGTCTTAGTGCAGTGTATGTATGCGGTTGGGGTGGGGGTGGGAGGGTTTCCATTTCCCCAAATAAAACCCAGCCTCCGCTCACTTTGACTTTTCCTATATCTATCTCCAGATGCTTGGGTAGTGAAGGATGAATGCAGGGGGGCAGGGCAGGGGGCAATTTTGAAATTGGTCTTTAAATGAAAAATCGGGGTTTGATTTAAAAAATAATTGCATGCCCAGCTTTAGATAGAGCTGAGGCTCCCGGACCGCCAATGCTCCAGATAAACTTCTTTTGGTGCACTTTAGCTAAAAGTGCTCAGAATACAATGTCCCGTCCCCGCCTCCCCTCCGAGTCCCGCGCGCGCGCTCGCTTAAACCACCTTCCTTTCCTCTAGACGAGCAAGAGAAGGAAGAGGAAGGGGGACCGTTCCTGGGAGGGTGGATGCACCCCCAGCAGACAGGAACTCCAAGAAGGAAGCATTCTACTCTAGGGGATTGTGTGTGCCTAAGGTGGTGGTGGTGGGGGGGAATGATGAAGCAATTGGCCAGAGAGGATGGGGAATATAAGGATAAGGAAGGTAGGGAAAGAGAGGAGTTTGGCAGAAGGCCTGAATAAGACCCAGGGATTCCCCAGTAGCAAGCATTCAGGAGTTAAAGCCCCTTCTAGCTCGACTTTGCCTCTATCTGCGGAGAAGCAGTCGGAGGTTTCTGAACAAGGCCTGACCACACAGATACAGCTTTCTAGGAAATAAAGGGGAGGTGGAGGAGGGGACTGATTAGATTTAGCTCCCCTCCCCCCACCTTTCCTTCATCGCAAAGCTGACAATCTCCGCAGTCATTTGCGTTCATCCAAATTGATACCAGAGGATGCATTGCTGGCAGCCATCGTTTTTTTTTCTTTTTATTAGTTATTGAATACACGGACCTTGACTCTAGGCCACTGCTGTTCTTCCCCCCCTCCCCAGCATCTAATATTTGGAGAATGGGATGTCATCTTTGCTATCTCCTAGCCACGCCCGTGCTGGTGGGTACCGGGTGCTGCTAGGTTCTTCTCCCACCCTATAAGCGGAGGTAGAATGCTTTGCAAGCTTTAATAAGAAGGGACAGGAGAAAAGGAGACATGAGGGCAAAAGGGGTGGATGGGGAGAAGGTGGTATGGTGTGGTGCGCAGGCGGTGAAGTTGAAAGAAGTTGTTCATGAGATTTTCAAGACCAAGAGGTGAAGTAGCGAAGGGTAGGTAGAAGTGGAGAAAACCCAAACTACTTGCAATTAATTCAGCCCCTTTAAAGGAGGGTGGGGCGGAAGGGGTGGATGGTTGAGGGGAGGGGGCATATCACTTTAAAAGGGTGAGTAAGAGTTTGGGGAGCTGTCTCTCCCCTCCCTCTATTTGCATAGCCAATAGCTCAGAGACTCTTGCTACTGCGCGCTGAATGTTACTGGGCAGATTACTTTTTTTTTCTTAGTAGGAAGCATTCCCCTCTATATCAAAAGAAAGCAAAGTTGGCGAGAAGCGAAGAGGGGGCTGGGGAAAGGAAGGAGGAGTCTTCAAAACTAATCAATAGGGGGGAGAATCGGTATCCGATTTACTCTGTGTGAGGGCAGGGGTAGAGGGATGTGTGACTGCTGATTGGAAGCCATTAACTTTGTAGAAAGGAAAAAAAAATTAAAAGCTCTCTGTGCAAACCCAACTTGCAAACTTGAAACTGTTCTGCGCCACAGATGACCCTCGGTTTGAATATGGTATTACTGGGAATACAGCAAATTCATTTAAACTATTGATTTTAGTCAGCTTGGAGTTTCCGACTGGGGATTTGAATCACTCTGAATAAATAAACATCTCCATTTTTAAAAGCCATTGAGAAATAACTCAAACTTCACCTAACCTACAGATCAAACAGTCGTGGTCTGCGTGGGGGCCGGGGGAGAAAAAGAAGAAGGGAGGTGTATTTTAAAGAAAGAAGATATGTAATTGGGTAATCAAGGACAGAAGCTTGGGACACTTTCCAGCCCGGCAGTGTGTCATTCATATTTTGCATTATTTGATAACTGGTCACCGTCCCTACCCTATCTCCATGCAAGAAAACGGAAAGTACCGTTCTTATAGATGCACTGTGGTGGGATGAGACAAGTCTCAGTTCCCCCCAGGCCTTACTCACTCCGGGGGAGGGAAGCTGGGGTGACGAGTCCTAAGCCTTTGGGGGTAGGCTAAGATGCTAAGTCTACTCTGCCGCCCTTCCCCCTCTCTCCTAGCCGAGGCTTGCTTTACTTTGAAACACCAGCAAAGGGAGGCTGAGGAGAAAGGGGGAGGGGAGAGGAGGGACAAGAAAGAAATCTCCGATTCTGTCCTTCATTCATTAAGATCGTGAGCTTGGGCAAATTCCGCTTGGCAGGCTAAGTCCATGAAAGCCTCTTTAAAAGTTTCTTCATTCCCTTCTTCCCATTGCTGACTGTTTCTGTACACTAGCAGCGCTCTTTATCACTCTCTGGTCTCCAATTTATCTTCGTGGGGGAAGGGGGTTTCTCTACACGAGCCGTCTATATCACTAGAGTCTAAAAAGTAGCATTAAGAACAAAAAAAGTTTTTTTTAAAAAAGGACTACAGTGCTAAGAAGAAAGCACTTTGGTTTCTAAGCATATACACACACACAAAGCGCATTTTGGGGAGGGGGTCAGAAGTTTATTTGTACCTTCAGCTAAAAAGTAAGCGCTTGGGTTTGACTTTGAGGTTAAAACAACCTCTAGAATCAAGGTTTTTCTGGGTGTGTGTTCTCCCTCTAGCAACTCAGCTCCACAAAGGAAAGTGTCCAGTAGTTTCAAGGCTAAATTTTGGGGAATACAAGTTCTCTCGTCTCTCTCTCTACCACCCCCTCCCCGCCCCTTCTACACGTGTTTGTGTAGTTTCGGTTGGAAAGGGTACAAAACGCTGTAGGGGTAGGGACCAGCCCGGTGTTCCGAGCCGTGTGTAACAGCATGGGAATCCGCAATAACACACTCACCTGGCAAATACACCCCAGCCAGGTGAGCTTGGAGCTGGGTGAAAGTTTAGAGGCACGTGTTCAGAGTACGGACCCAGTAGTAAACAGTGTTCCACGGAGCAACAAATTGGGAGACTGGGGGGCATTTCTTCCCTTGGCCAAACTAGGAGGTCGAGATGGAGTGGGGGGAGGGGAGGAGTAATCCTTTCTTTGATAGTGGGTGTTTCATTATTTCACGAAGGGAGAGATGGTCAGAAAATTAAAACCCTAAGGCCATTTGAAAATTAATCTCAGCACATTATTTCTCTCCTTTAGAAATTCTTTGACCTAGGAAGTGAAATGACCTAGGAGGAAAATGAAAGAAGGACAGAGGTGGGAAAGAGGAGGAAAGGAAGAGGAATGGGAATGAAAGGAGAATGGGTCTGTGGTGGGCATGGGTTGTAGACTAAAGCCACAATGGCAGTCTGTCTTGCCCTGGGCTGGGGAGCACAGGTATAAAGGAGTAGTTTGAGTTTCCTTGTCGGATCCCCAGGGCGTTTCAGGTGAGAGGTTGGGTCGGGTCTTGTGTGTGTGCGCGTGTGTGTCTTTATCTAATTATTCTGTTTATTTACTATATTTTGATGCAGACTCGTGTTTTCTTCCGGACGCAACAGATGCTGCAAGTGCATTTTAAGAGGCTACCCGCTTGCCTTATGTTCACCTACTAGAGCCTCACTCTTCTTTCCGGGAAAAGTAAAGATAAATAAATAAAAGGTCAAAACTTTCCGTGGTTCTCTTGCCTGATTCAGCTTTTCACACTTCTCACAGGGCCAGGAAATTTATTACAGCTTTATGGAAATTTATTTTCCAACAATATAGGTGGTGGGAGTTCTCCTGGAAGGAGACACCTCATCCTGGAGTGCCCCCTACTCCCCAGGAGGAAAAAAACCCCACCGATCTCCCCCACACTTTTCTCTCCTGGGACGCCCTCCTGGCCCTAGCCCCCCTATCCATCCCCGAGGGGGGCGCAACCTTGGCAATCACTCCTCTGTAGCCGCCACGCAGCTTTTTCGAGGAATTTTGACGTCATTTTCACGTGGGGGGAAGGGGCTGGGAGAGCAAGAGGAAGCTGTCGGGGAGAGGGGGAAGGGTGTGGAGGGAAGCCGTAGCTTGGGTGGGGGGTGTTGGCTGAAGGGTCTCTCCACACCACTCCACCCCCAGCCTCCTCCACTTCGGCCACGCTGAGCTTTCAGTGGTCCAGCTTTGCAAGCCCCAGGGTTGCCGGCAATTTTGTTTGCAGAAATTGCCATTGCCTGAATCTTCTTAGGCAATTCGTATCCAAAGTTGCTATTGCTTCTCGGCCTGCAGCTCGCGACCCTCCCCCGCCACTATCTTCACTTCCCAAGAAGTTTCTTTTTACTATGAGCTCCGCAGCATGTTAATTCTAATGGTGGGGGGGGGTAAATCCCTTACCCCCTAGCGTTTTTCTGTTGCTTCTGAATACTGAGATCTGCCAATGATCGCGATTGTTGTTCACGACTCTGACTACTACGAACTCCTCCTAACTCCAGTAAAAGCAAAAGTAGCTTTAAAGGAAAGCCGTATCCCTGACCTAGGGACCTTTGGACTAGTGAATGAGTGAATGTGTTCTTCTGTTGTTCAGGTATTGAGTTCTAGATTCAGCTTCACAAAAGTAGTTTTCATGCTCAATAAACTCCCCTCTCCACCGCCCCTTTCCGTGCTCCTACATAGAAGAATGGGGGCTTTGGTGGGAGGGTGATTACACACCGAGTAAAGCCATCAGTGGATATAAGCACTGCTACTTGTACTTTTCTTAGACTAGCTGTCTACTCACATCGGTTTACAAATATACCACTTGAATTATTTCTACTGACCATAGGCAAAGGATGCAAGAGAGTTGAGGGTGGGGGAGGGGGGGAACAAAGGCTATCCAACTGGTATCCGGTACCTGGGGCTATGATTCCTTCACTGTAAATTTAACCAATAATTTATTGCCTTCTTTAAAGTAATACTGATCCTTTTTAACCTTTCTTTTGGGGTGACATTGGAGTAAAGTTCCTTTCCCAAAGCCAAGCTGGCAATTTCTTACTTTATAATGAAATATAGTGGAAGAATTTAAAACTGGGACCAATATTGGAGGGGCTTGAGGTGTGGGATTTAGGGGGAAAGTTCACACAACCAAACCACAGGAAGTAACAATGTAAACTTGTATTTATATCCATAGGCAGATTTGTTGTACCATTGAGGAAATGGTTTGGAGCTGAGTTAAAAAAAAAAAAAAAAGGCAGACCTGAGGTAAAATCATTTGTCCCAGATTGGGAGATGGAGGATTATGGAGCTTGAGTACCCTAGCTGGGTATCATGGGTATTTATGAGGTAGCATGAAGTGTAGAAACATTATTTTTAAAGGTTGTCAGAGTTCAGTTATAAAAGTGCTCTTTTAAAAAACATTTCTACCTTTTTTTTGCTTTACGTAACCGCTTTTAATAACTGTTGATGTGACTCAAGCAAGTATTTTATAATATATTACCTCTGAAGAGTAACAATTAGTAAAAGTTACAATTTTTAAAATGTGTTAACATTATTGGTGGTTGGTTGTGGTTGATTTGCATTATGGTACCTGATTTGACCCACACCTGATTTGTATGTGCAAAGGTAGGAAGTAAAATGATTTAGTAAAAAATAAATGAAAAAATTTAAAAAATAGAATGTAATTTTAAAAAAAATGAAGAGGCCAAAGGAATTGTTTGAGGGGCTGAAAAGTCATGTGTCTCTAAAATTTCATTTAGATTCATTATTGGGTTTCTGAGAAGTTAAGCCAAGTCCTTTTTAAATTAAAATTTTTACTAGTTTGTCAAGACCATATCCAGAGATTGTTTTATAGAATAATTGCAATTTGTTTTCACACTTAGTCAGAAATTACAAAAGAAATTCATCCTCATCCTCCAAAATCTATTTCCTAGTAAAACTGAGTCTACTTCTGATTTTGTAGTTTTCTTTATCGTTCACCAATTAAAACAAAATTGAACCTGGATATATTTTCAAGTAATTTCACATTTTATTTTTAAAACACAAAGTTTGTTGCCTTGTTAGTAGAATATCCATAAAATTCATAAGAAGGTTGAACATACTGATGTTGCATATTATGGTCATTTTTAAATCAATGAATAAAAACTGGGCAAATAACTAGTATTTAGTTTTCTTGGTTTGTTCTTTGTTTTTGTGGTAAAGTAATTTTTAAGTCTTTCAAAGTCGCTTTCCTTTATAATGTTATAGTCATATAAATTGTTCTCCTGGTTCTTCTCAATTCCTTCTACATCAGTTCATGCAGGTGTTCTGGGATTCTCTGAATCCATATATTCTTAATTTCTTATGTTACAGTAATATTTCAGTCCATTCCATTTCACATATTTTGTTCAGCAATTATTTTCTTTAATGCTTTTTGAAGAGGTTAGGTATATTGAAAAGGAGTAAATTTAAAGATACAAAGCAAGTTATTTCCACAGTTTTGTAATCTCCGAAATGTACGATGAGCACATCCCTAATGTTTTAGGGCTGACCTAAATATATACATTTTACATTCTGTCGTACATAGTAGAAGTCAATCCATTCTAAGAGATGTATTTCCTCCTCATTTAGCTTTAAATAAGATCATCTATACTTATGTTAAGTTGAAACAAGGTTTTGCCTACACATAACCAAAACAAATTAGAAAATCAACCCTTCTACTTTGTTGTATATGATTGAAGATGAAATTAGGGTAGAAAATCCAAGCTAATTTCTAATGTGATCTACCTCAAATCACATTTTCATTATGGCTGGATGATCTCTGAGTCAAATAATTCTTTGTGAGGTTTAGAGGTGAATTCCTAAATGGGCATCAAATGATGTGGGAAATCACAGAGCACAGTTAAGATGTAGTCATGGCAAATAATACTGAAGTCAGAAAATTATACTTTAACATGTCACTGGTTCGGGAATTTTACTGATGTAGATAGATCTTTCTTTCATTGCAGAAGATACTGATATTCAGGCAGTAGTAATAGAACTGCCCTGCTGGTCTGTGTCCTGTTCTGAGCCTCCTTCTGTTTTCTTTAGGATCTTTTTAAAATGTTTGATTGCTGTTTATTTCTGTTATTTATTTTTCGCATTATTATCTCTGCCTACCTTTTTCTCCACATAGAAGTCTTCCTTTGTAATAAATACAATCAAGCAAAACAATCACTACATAAAGTATATGTCTCATTCTGAACTTCTAGTCCATTAATGAAACTTGGAAGTATGTTTCTTTAGCAGTCTTTTGACATCATGATTGGCTATTGTATTGATTAGATTTTCTGAAGTCTTTTTTTTTAAATAAAAAGATACTTTACTTAAGTACTTTTTTCTGGAAGCTGCAAAATGACTACTAAATGCTTCTTGGTAAAACTGTAAAGTCAACTTTATTCTCCCTTTTGCTCTTCTGTTTTTGCAAAGACCTTAATTATGTCTAATCCGTCAGCTCCTTGTTCTTTAGCCTTCCTTAGCTGAGTGTCCATGTGGATGAAGCATGTGATACATAATGACCAAATGTGTGGCAACATCCATTATCTCTCCCCAAATATCTATCCAAATCTCTCTGAATCTGGTCAATCAGCATACCACCAATCTTTTTTTTAATTTACTAGATACCACACCATTCCACCAAACTGTCTTGTTGAATGCAAAACACCATATTTACCATGCTTTTCTATATCTTCATATGTCTAGTGATTAATTTTAGTATAATCCACTGAATGTGGTTCAAACTGTGCAACACAGAGATTGAGGATATCTTCAAGATGATGTTGACTGAACAAAGTTGGAAGATTTTCTTCCTGGAACATTAATGGTGGAAAAATCTTGCTATCTGTTTTGGGGAAAAAGACCTGGATCATTCTGTCTAGTCTTTCTAGGAAGTTTTACATAGAATACCACTTGGTTCCCTGACAACAATGAAACATTCATGATGGGGAATGCTAAATGTTAAATCAGTAAATGGGTATTTGGAAGTAATCAGTTCTTTCAAGGATTCTATCATCTGCTAATACATCATTTATTGGCTCTCCTTTCAGCACAGGAGGCATTTTAAACCGTTCTTTAGCTGCCTCAATGGCATCTGTTGTGGCTCTTTCTAGTTGTATTTCTATCATTAGCTTATATGTTGGTGGCTTGAGTTGTTGTTTAATTGGTTTAAAAACCTGTAAATCCAAACCAATCATTTTGATGAGTATATTTTTCAACTTCCTTAGCTATGAATTCTGGCTTCTTTGTCTCTGAACAACAGGAGTTAGCCCCGGAGCCCATCTGATGACAAGATGGCCCCCATCCTGAAGCCTTCCACCAAGAGCAGGGTTTGGGGCAGAGGTCTGATCCTCACAAGTCCTGTGCCCCAGGATGTCGCTTGGCAGAGCCAAAGGGAAGCCAGCACCCTGAAGGCCACCATCACTCCATTAGCCATCTGCCCCGGCTTTTCTTAAGTCTTTTAAAAGTTGCTTCTTTTAAAATGTTGTAGACCAACAAATTGTTTTCCTAGTGATAATTCACTTTGCATCAGTTCATGGAAGTCTTCCAGGTTTCTCTGAATCCATCATATTTTTAATTTCTTAATATTCCATCACATTCATATGCCATAATTTGCTCAGTCATTCTCCCATTGAAGGATACTCATTTTGTTCCCAGTTTTTTGCTGCTATCAATAAAATTTGTGCACAAGGCTACAGTATTTTGCTTCTGTCTTTAACTTC